GCTGAAGTATAAGCAGGCAATTTCGGGCTGTTTTCCACACAGCCAAGTGCTTCAGTTGTGCCCCGAGCACACACAGCCCATGCACAGCTGTGCCAGCAGTGGGGGCAGCTGGGACAGACCCCCTTGCCCTATGCTGGGGGTGCCCAGGGCTGAGCTAACCACAGGAGCAGCCTGGGGGCACACAGTGGTGAGCAGGACAGTGTCTCTGCTCTCTCCTCTGCCAACATGCAGTTCAAAGTCTGAATCAGTGCATTTGCTCATTTTCCACTCAAAGGAGGACATGATGACAGAGATTTGGGCAGAAAGGGGCAAATTGGAGTTTAATCCTGCTCTAGGATAATCTAGGATAAACTTCCTATGGCTTGGAACAGTGTTGTGAGCACTCAGAAAGCTGAGAAAAAAAAGGTATTATTTTTGGCTGAGTCTTTATGGCTGATGCAGGAACTCTCTTGTTAGTTACTCATTGCCCCAGCAAGCCTCATAAAACAGTCAGGAGAGCCCAGCAAGTACTTTTCTTTAGCATTCTGGGAGCTCAGAAATGCAGGAATTGAACGAGGCCTTGAACCCATTTTATGGACTCACTTCTTACTGAGCACCATAAAATATTAAAATTCAGACCCTATAAATAAGGAGAGGAAAGAGCTGTGCATTTCCCAGCAGAAGGAGCCTTTCCTGAGACTCTTCCCAAGGTAAGTCTGGTGCTGCCTGACCCAGGGACGGGTTCCCCTGACAGACAGGTGATTGGAGACAGCAAACTCATGTAATGGAGATGAGAGACATAAAACCCCCTTGAATCTGCTCTGAACTGGAAAATGCCCTGCAACAAATCGACTCAGTTTATTCTCTGGTGACCCTGTCCCTGCTGTGAGGGCTCTCCCCAGGGTGTCTGATGGCAGCACTGATTAACCCCTGCGAGCCCTGAGCAGAGGCAGCAGCACTGGGACCCTCTCTCCCACAGGCACCAGCTGAGCCCCCCGAGATGGCACAGAGACACAGCCTCACCATCCCCTACGGAGCACCTCTCCTTGCTATATCCTTCTTGGCCTGTGTAGCCACAGGTAAGCAATGGAAAAAGTCTCTTGTGGCTTTGTCCAAGCCCCATGAAGCCAACAATTCAGACTGTCCAGGGCTGGGCAGTACAGGGTGATGTGCTGCACCAGCATCTCAGCTTTTGGGTGTTCTGGGGGTCATCCCCAGAGGACTGTCTGGAAACTCATTTTGAGAGCAGCAGGGAAGGGAATGGGGAAGTTCCAGTGTTTTCCAATGTTACTGCAGCAGCTGGACAGGATTGATGAAGGCACAGTGTGCAAACCTGCTCCAAGCAGTGAGATATGTGATAGCTTTGGCCACCTGGAAACCCCAGGGAAGAGAGAGGGAGCTTCAGTCTTCTTTATATTCACAGGACTTTAGTCCCTTTATATTCTGAGCTACATTTTAAATTCATTAATCTGTGACCCAGGCTACAGTAACGAGTTTCAGCCCATTACAATAATTTATGTCCCCTACTGGTTCTTCATTTAGCATGTCCTGAAGTTTGTACCTTAGACAAACTGCACTCTGCAGCAGCCAGACTCAGCCTGGCTGGGATACGGCTGAGGGGTTGATTAACTAATTTATACTCCCAAGACCATCCAGCTCCAACCCAAACCCAGCATGTCAAACAGTGAACACAGCACCCAAGGGCACAGTAGTGCTGTGACTGGCAGCAGGAGGGTGAGCAAGGCCAGAGGGATGGGGATGATTTTATGCTGTGTGTTACATGGTCACTGGTTTTCAGATGTTTTGATATAACAGGTCAGCCTTTGCCCTTCTGTCAGCCAGCTGAGAAAGGCTGATTTTTATTCTAAATGACTATGAACGGAGCTTTGTGATGAAGACAACTTCTTGTCTCAAAAACTAACATCCTGAAAACAGCTGTTAGACTGAAGCCTGAATGTCTCAGTCCCTCCTGCAAGGTCGAGGTGTGGAGAAGTGAGCAGAGCAGCTTTTGTGGGAAGGGTATGGCTTAGGATGCTTAGTGCCCTCATCCTCCTTGTTTTACAGGTTTGGAGCTGTCTATAAACAACCAGGCTGCTGACTTCTCCCTGTCCACAAAGCCTGGCCCTCCTGTCTCCCTCTCCTGCCTCGTACACAACAGCAGCCAGGCTGAGGAGCTGCTCTGGTTCCGAGGAGATGGGCGAGTGGATCTGAAAGATGGGAATAAAGAGAACATCAGCAACATCTGCATATCCCCAGTCAACGAGTCTGACAACGGAGTCACCTTCACATGCAAGTTGGCACGGGACAAGTCAGTCCAGGTGTCTGTGATCCTGGATGTCCAGTGTGAGTCCCAGTGGATTTCTGGGTGGGATGAGGTGGGATGGAAGCATGGGCTGAGCAGCTCAGTGTCTGGGCGGTGTTTTGCACCCTTGGACGCTGTCTTCACCAAGAAAAAATGCGTTTAGGAGGAGATAACTCGTGATAAGACACTCCCTTTCCACAGTGCTGCTCATGACCTGATCTAAGGCCTCTTTTATAGGGAGTGGGTGGGCCCTTATGTAAGAAGATGTTCTGAAATGTCCCTGCCACCACCTAGATTCTTTCCCAAGAATACAAGTCAGGGCAGAGAAGACACAGGAGTGACAGTCTCTGCCACTGACTGCCCTGCTGATTCCCTGGGATCAGGAAAGGCTGCACAGCTGTGATGTGTTAGACCACTGAATGTGGTGCACAAGGGATGTCTGAAAGGAACTTATTTTGCGTTAAATGGTGGGAATTCTACATGTACCTGAAAGGAGGTTGGAGCAAGGTGGTGTTGGTCACTTCTCCCAGGTGACAAGTGACAAGAGGAAATGGCCTTATGTTGCACCAGGGGAGGTTTAGATTGGGTATTAAGAAAATTTCCATCACCAAATGGGTCAGTCATCAAGCACTGGCACAGCTGCCCAGGGCAGTGTTGGAATCACCATCCCTATAGGGATTTAAAAGATGTGACACCTGGGGACATGGTTTAGTAGTGGCCCTGGCAGTGCTGGGGTAAGGTTGAACTCAATGATCTTAGAGAGCTTTCCCAGCCAAAATGTGGTTCTATAAACTGCATTGTCACTGACCCACTGAACTGCCTTACTGTGAACAGTTCCTCCCCATCTGAGCGGGGAAGAGTCACACCAAATTGAAGAAGACAAAGATGTTACTCTGAGCTGCAACTCCAAATCCAACCCTCAAGCCCAAGCAGTTTGGTATATGAACAATACCACCTTGACCCTGCAGCAGAGTCGTCACCAGCTGTACCAGACGAGTGAGGTGTCTCAGCTCTCTATCAGGAAAGTACAGAAGTCTGACAATGGCACCTACACCTGTGTGGTGAAGTCTTCCTTGGGAGAGGGCAGAAAGGATTTCCACCTCATAGTTGAAGGTAATGAGCCTGCTGCCAAGCAATAAGCTTAACTATTAACTCTCCATTCTCTTTTATAACAACAGCAATCCATTTCTATCAAGAAGTGTAAGTGGACTGTGGTAAATTCCCTGTGTTTACTTCTGAGCAGGGCACAGCAACAGCAAGGAGCTCTCCTTGCACCTGTGCCTGGGACCACAGCACCAGGAAGGGCCTGTCCTGCTCTGCCTGTTATTCAAAGGTGTTTGGCAAGAGTGACCCAGGGCAGGCTCAAGCCACTGTCACTCTTCCCACGCCGACAGGACACACTCTAGTGTGGTTTAAAGCACCTTAAGTGTTACTTGAAGTGTTTTTGTCTGACCACAGTACTCTGTCATGCCCAAAGAGTTGCTGAAGGCAAAGAGAAGTTGTGGCCCAGAAGTGACTACAGCCCTGTGGACAAGCCAGGGGCTGAGTGCTCAGGTCTCAGACAGGTGACACTAGGTGAGGTGACCCACCAGAACCATCAGGCATCTCTTTCCCACCCTCTGCCCAAGCCCTCTTGTTTCTGCACTCATGACACAGGGAGGAAAACAATCTTACCTGTGTCAGTGGTAGCTCTGGACTTATTTCTGTGTGTGAATGTGTTGGGGATCCTCTCCTCCAGGAACTGATGTTTCAATTCTTCTCCAGTTCACTAAAAGACAGGCCCAGCTCTCTTCTTTCCAGGGAACTAACACACAGAGTCAGTCTGCAGACAGCAGAGAGAGCAACAGTCAAATCAGCAGTGACAGCCATGGGGAAAGAAATATGTCTTTCCACAGTCCTGTGAAATGTTCTGGGTTACATGACTGCACTAATCTATCACATATCCAACTTCCTCTCTCCTGACAGATAAAAAACCTGTTTTTCCCAAGGAGGCTGTTATTGCTGCTGTGGTGGTGGTCACAGTCACTGTAATTTTTGGGATTGTGGCTCGAAAAGATAAAATTTTTAAGGTATGGAAAGCTCTAATTTCATAGGAAAAGAATAGTATTGTTCACTGCAATGTCCTGGGTTTTTTCGATGCTTTCTATTCTACTTCATAGTGTTGCTTTCCACTGTTAGATATCTGCTACATACTACCTCCTGCTCTAGAATTACCAGTAGTTAAATCACATTTGAGATATTTTAAGGTGGAAGCTTTATGTACCTGCAAGACATTTGTAACAATATCCCTATGGCCAAGGAAAGTGAAAGATAACGAGGCTGTTTCTTTCTTTTCAGTGCTTCAAGAAACCAAGGGAAACAGCTCTGTAAGTATTTGACTGCTTATTCCATGCTTATTCCAAATGAACCTCCTTTAAACTTGGCAGAACCTGGAGAAGAACACTCAGCAGGCTAAACCCACTTGTGGGTTTTTGCCAAGTAGGTGACTTTTCATTTCTTCTGTTCGTTTTGCTGCAGATGAAGAACACCATGCATGCCCAGAAAACATCATTTCTAACAGTGGAACTAAGCCTTAGAGTGAGATGATGAGATAAAGCACTGGAACAAGTATTTTGGAGTCAAGTTTATGTGTTTTGTTTTCAAAATAGAAGTGGTTCTTTGCATCTAGTGATTCTAACCTGCTGCTTAGAGCACTGCTGAGGAGGGTGAGCTGCCTGGACTGATACCAGTTCTTGCCCTCCATGCTTATTCCAGCAAGGAATGCAGGTGCAGTCAGGCATGCAGGTGGTGGATCAGTCTACAGAGGAATCTGTACTGGATTGCTACAGGTCGTGGTGCTGATGTACACAAAGTGAGGTGCTGAGCTGACACTGCTTTCTGTCCTGCAGGACATCCCAAGGATGTTGGGGGGGATGGTCACCCAATTTCCTGCCCCTTCCCAGTGATCCTAAGGTCTTCTCAGCTGCTGTAGCCAGGGTGAAAGCTGCCTGGCACCCAGCACTGCACCTCTTTCTCCCTGGCTGAGGGCACACCCCAGGGTTTGGGGCAGACATAGGTGCTCAGTAACACACAGTGAAGTTCCAGTGTGGTTGCTCCAGCCCTATGATGGCAGGAAAACCTCTCCATCCCTCCCTTCCCCCAACAATGTGCCATACAAGTGATTTTCTCAAGGTCCTGGCAAGCTGTTGAGGCCTCGTCATGTCTTAGAATGGCACATTACTAATACTGTCAATAAACACCATGTGCTGTAAGTCAATTTGAGACTGTGATGTGCCAACACTTCTTGGAGGAGCAGGACTGGTACTCAAGAGGGAGACTCTAGAGCCTGATCCAGAGGTCAATTCAGAACCTGATCCAGAGGCTGATTCAGAGCGTGTCCTTGACTGACATTTCCCAGCACTCAGGGAAGATCATCACTTTGCCACGGCAGTGCCACCTCATGCTCCTGGGCAGTGTCATTGTGCCCAACACTCCTGTTAATTCACAGCAGCACTGAGGGTGACACTGCAGGGGGAGAGCTGGGAAAAGCAGGATGAGGATGGAGATGGCGATAGGGGTATGGGGATGCAAATGAGGATGGAGATGGGGGCATGGAGATGGAGATGGGAATGGGATGGGGATATGGAGATGGGGATGGAGATGGGGATGTGGATGGTGGTGGAGATGGGGATGGAGATGGGGATAGGGGTATGGGGATGGTGATGGGGATAGAGATGGGGATGGAGACGGGGATGCGGATGGGGATGGAGATGCGGATGCTCAGACTGGGTATCCCTCCCCCAGGAGCGACACTAGCCCTCCAGGGCCGAGCCCGTGCCACACCGAGCCCGCCGGGGCTGGGAGCCCCGGGC